TATGGACCGGTCCGGTCCAAAGAAAGATGAAAGACCGGTCTTTTTGGACCGGACCGGACCGGACCGATCCAACCCTAATCAAATTAACGAGTGATGTTGATCTTCAGGAAAATTACATGGTGAGCTATGATTAATAAAAATATAATTGTGTTGTAAAAAAAAAAGTGTATTATTTAATTATAATTTTTATATTTTAGCTTGGAATCATGATCCACAAGAACGTTCTACTATTTTTAGGAAATTTGATGAATTAAAGATGGATTTTCTCAAAGAATAATTCCGAATGATATTAATCAATCTATAAATGAATCCATAGATGAGCTAGAAAAAAAAGCAAAAATATGGATCGAAGATACGATCAAACAGAAAGTTGTTAAATTTGTGACATGGTCTGAATTAAATTCTTATCAAAAGATCGGAACAGGGAATTTGGATCCGTGTATAGAGCATATTGGTCTAATATACATAGTTACGTGGTTTATAAGAAATTATTGATTTCACCTGACATTCAATATAAAATATGGGAAGCATTCAAACATGATTTACAAATTCAAAGTAGGCGCATAATTGTGAAAATATCGTTCGAGTTTTAGGGATAAGTAAAGGTAGGTTTTTGATATTTTATCTTTATTTAAATATGATTTTATCATTTATTTATATATTAATTTTAGGTTTAAATAATGAGTATTCTATCTATCGTTTTAGAATATGCTGAAGAAGGGATTTAAAAATGTATCTTTCTAAATATTTTACAATTCTCGATTGGAATAGAAAAATTGGATTGGCCTTGGATATTACGAATGGATTACATTATTTACATAAAGAAAATATTTTGCATCGAGACCTTGTAAGTTATTTAAACATATTTTTATAAAAAATTAAATTAAATTTACTAACTTGGTTTATAAATTTTACTTTCTAGCATTCTAGAAACATTGTAATACATCAAGGAAAAGCAAAAATTACGGATTTTGGTAATTCAAAAAGCATGAACACTATAACCAGTATACATTATAGCTTATTTGGTAATATTCCATACGTTGCTCCGGAAATTCTAAAGGCATGTAAAACCGAACGAGATCCTTATACTGATATATATAGTTTAGGGGTTATTTTATGGGAGATATCAAGTGGTAAACCTCCTTTTGAAGGTAGTTGTGATTATGCAATATGTACAACTATATTAATAGGAGATAGAAAAAAAAAGAGTACCAGATACAATAGTAAATGTTGGGATGTAAAACCTAAGAAAAGACATGATATTGAAGATTTTTATGAGAAATTAGAAAAGTTATTAAGCGTTAATAATAATAATAATATCGAAATTTTGATTTCAGAAAATGCATCACCAAACTTACATGTATCTTCATCACCAATACTAAATACATGCATAGCGATTCATTATAGATATCCAGTTAAACGGTTGAATGGGGCCTAAGAAACACCAAATTATATATTGACCTTTAATAATATTAAATAACTATAAATTTTTAATTTAAAAATTTAATTTTAATTTTTCAACGCAAACTTGAACTTTAGCTTTGATATAGAACTTTTAATTGTAATCAAATAATAATAGAAATAGAAATAGGAATAAACGAAATTAAAAACAAAGTCGAATAAAAAACAAGAAATTATATTGTAAATCGACAATTGGAATTTGATCAATTTTTTTTACATACAAAGAAGAAAATGGCGTCATAACATAATTAGGTGGAAGTTTATATATGTTATATTCGTTATGGAATACTAGAGTAGATAAAAATTTTCAAATAATCAGATCCTCCTATTTGATCAAATTATAACGATAAAAAAAAACTTTGCCTAGAAATAATCGGATTATTAAACATTAATATCTTATTTAATATATAATATTATTAGTATAAGAAAATTTTAGGCTAACGAGAGGATAATGATATAATAATCATTGAGTGTACTTTGATTATTATTAGGTCTATCAAGATAATAGTATGATACACCCTTATTGACTGTTTAAAAGTCATAACGTACTAAAATTAAAATTTCATTTAAACATCATCAATAGAATCAATATCGGTTGAAGGATTATGGTTCATTGTAGCGGTTACTCGATTATCATCAGTTGAGTTAGATAAAGTTTGTAAGTTGGTTATAGGAGTATCATGGCAATCGAGTTCTGTTAAGGAGTTAGGCAAAGTCGATAAGCTTGCAATCTGAGTACTTGGACAATTATGAATTGTTAGTTATGAAGTCTATAATTTCCAAGTCTTTTAGATTATTTGCCATATTTTTGCGATAAAATTTTAGTCAAGCAGTGGGAATTCAATTTTTTTTTTTTAATTTATTCAGCCCTCGGTTAAAATATTTCCATAACATCCACCACCATCGATATGACAAATTGGAAGTTGCTAATAAACATATTGAATGAAATTCGTTTATTTATCAAACATAATTCTTTGTTCATCCATATATGGGCATGTCAAAATGTTGCATGTTTGACAAATAAGAGACGCCCAGATCATTGTGTAAACTTTTTATCGCCATGAAATTCTCAGAGAACGTACTATATAATCCTTTAATAATTTGATTTGTCTAATTAATCACGACTTATTAACAATCCTTTGGTTGAATGCCATTGAGCGTAACAACAACATAATAATTTGAAAATGCAAACAACGATTAAAGAATTATTTTGATAAAGTGGAAAATTAAATTTTCATTTTTGCTTTTTTTATATTGATATTTATATAATTAAATTGTAAATCGAATTTTTTGATAATACTAGCGCATTAAGATATTCAATTATAAAATTTAATAATATTATTTTTCTTCAGATTCTAAAAGTTACGATTATGGTTTGTGTCAATATTATTATGTACTTTGTTAATATAATTTAAGATTTCAAACCCATAAAAAGAAAAAAATAAAGCGAAAATCCTTACGTCACACCCTAGTAGTGATCCGAAAGAGGAACTTAAAGAGCACATGCACTGCGCTTCGAACTCGACGTCGTATTATTTTCTAAGAGAATCCAATATAAATTTTATTTCCGTATTATTGATCTTAATAGATTTAAGTTATGGGATTGTTTAGGAAATAAAGTTACAAAATTCTTTTTAGTTCAATCAGCAAAAGTTACCTAGCTACTTCAATACGTTAGGCAACATTCTTTAATTTATGTTAACTAGACCAGTGTTGGCAACTTACCTTCGATAACCAAATGACTTTGATGAGATCATTGGGACATTCCAAAAGTTAAATGACTCTGAAATAAGTCATTAAAAAATTTTATAATAAATTATTAATAAATCAAGAAATTTATTTTATTAAAACAAAATTGACTTTTTATTAATTTTATAAATTCAATAATTCAAATAATTCAAATCATTTGGTTCTTCATTTCTTTATTAACATCACCATTATCTTATTTCTATCATTTATAGCCAGTAAACCAAACTAATATTTATTATTAATATGAAACATTGCATTTGCTTAAAGTAATTCAAAATAAGTTAGTTCTAATCAAATTTAGTTTAAATAAAAATAAAGTTCAAAAAAGAAAATTCATTTATGTATATCATGGTACAAACTTAATATTTCCGATGAGCAAAAATGGCCTAAAATGGCCCAGATGATTCCTAATGACCTAGTTCTTTGTGTCATGAGTCATTTTAAATGACAAAATTCCAGATAACAAAGTATTACCGGTCATTTTAACATGACTTAGGGGTTAATTGAATTGGTCAAATGACCAGGTCATTTGCTATCACTGACTGTACTAGACGTCTCATTGTTTCATGACTTTTTCTTATGTATTATACATCTAAGGAAATTGAGTTTCCTAAATAAAAATTCTATTTGCTATTATACAGACCCCCGCCAAAAGTCTCCGAACGCCATCTTTCAGGGGCTATTTCATACCGATTACGTCGCGTGACTGCAT